CCCGTTTCCCCAGGATCTTACACAGGACTAGGCGCAGTGCCTATTTACTCCCACCACATGTTTAACTTTTGGATCTGTCTGCCCAAATGGGAATTTTGACAGCAAGAAAGTAGAAAATGGTTCCCCTTTGTTCTTTCTTTCTACTCCAAAGCCACCCACAACCCGTCTTCCACTCTCGCTGATGGGGCTAGATAATCAAATTCATTCAAAACAGGAATGCGCTAAATTAGGGTTGGAAGAGGCAGTGCTAACTTTCCTGTTAATAAAATGGGCACGTAACTAATGTGAGAATACATGTCAGACTTGCAGAATCCGTTCCGTTCTTAAGATGACTCGATCCCTTTTCCTCTCAAGCATCCTCAGAATTCAGCTCCATCCATGTAATGACCCTTTCAAGTCCTTGAGGACTGCATGAAATCTAGCTACTTAGCACTTTGAAGAAACTCAGTTTTGTGCACACATCTGTTAAATGCTTTGGCCGCATTAATGTAGCTTGGGCAATACAATCTGAACCCCATTAGCATGAAAAGCACCTGAGGAGGAGCTCCTGACAGGAAAGGCACCATGATGTTTACTATCCAACTGCAACAGCATTCCAGTTTCCTTCATCCTGCAAGTAAAGGGATCCTAGAAATGAAAGTCTTCTGTAAAGTACCAATCCTGCATTTATGGTCTCCTTCAAGGAACTCCGTGAAATGGCTACAGCACCAACTCACGTGCTACGACACTAACCACTGTGCTTTCTTTGACCTGTTGCATTTCATTCAGTCCATCATGGATAGTATTTCCTTGGGTAAATACAGGGAGAGAAGGCTTACAAGTCAAAAAGATGATGTCTGAACCCGCCACAATGTTCCTGGGAATTTCACAGATCACAAAGAACCCACGTCATACGAAATCTCGCTCCTTTCACCACTTGCACAAGAAAAACTGGGGGAAACCCTTCCACCATTTTTCCCTCGACGGTATATTTTACCTCTGAGCCAAACAGCTTTCAGAACTGGCTAACCGGATAAAATATTCAAATTACAAACAAACAAATCAGAGCAGCTAAATAAATAAATAGCCTCAAAAGAAGTGAATAAGATTGCAAGTCTGTCCAGCATTTTATTAAAATGGGAGGAATCCTGTCATTTCATATCTGAAATGTGAACAAGATCTAAGATGGGTCCGTACTGCGTGATCCCAAGAGCGGACGCCTCAGGCAGGTGGCATCCTGTCCTGCACAGGAAAGCGCTGAGTTCTCCAGCAGAGCATCCACGTGGTGGCCAAACTAGCTAAAAGCCCAAAACGCCTTTCCGGCAAGGCAAACAATCCATTTCTTTTTCGACCCTCCATCTGGGCTCTCTCTCTCAAACTAGGGGAAACCATCCGTTGCTTCTTGAAAAAGCAATCCCGTCTGACAACAACTCCGTGGAGCAGTCTGCCTGCGCCCGCCCGCTGCCTCCCAGATGACTGACAGAAGAGAAAGGAAGCGGCAGGGGGGAGCATCTCAGTCGAGTCTCACATTAAGACAGCTTCCACTTCCCCTTCAGCTTCACCAGCCACCCCCACATCCTGGATGCTGACAGAGGGGCCGTCCATTGCTGCTCAGAGGCTAGGCAGCTGGGGGGAGGGGGCTGCCTTTCTGAGCTTCCTCCCTGCTCGTCGAGGCCCATCTGGGTGAAGGTGCTCCCTCTCTTCTCCCTCCTGAAAGGTCCCTCCCCGAGTGTGAGGGAGCAACTCAACAGGGCCTCTGCACTCATCCTGCAACAGGCCAAATCAAGAACGGGCAACAGGTTTGCCCCCGACCCCGAGACAAGACGAGTGCCAGTGCTACTTGCTGGGCTGCTGAGAGGGTAACTCACTTGGAGTCTCTTTGCGGTGCCATTCAGACTTTCCAAACGTGCCATCGGCCCAGAGGACCTCAATGTCTCGCCAGAGGATCCCGGCTGAACAAGCGAACCGGTTAACCCTGGAGAAGACCAAGGCGGCGGAGACACAGAAAGGCTTTCTCCGTGAGAGCTACAGCGGCTCTCGGCACATGGAGGGATGCAGGCTTCACTTCTGGAATCCCCCCTTTATTTTTAAAATGAGGGGAGCCTTTATGCCTAAGCAGAGGGCTGGGTTACTTCTGGGCCTGAGGCCTGCACGCAAACAGGCTCCTGGGCGAAGCCTTAGAGAGGCCCTGCAGATAAGACAACATGCATCTCGAGCTTGTAACTCACCTTGACACTGGAATCCTTGTTTTCCAAATCCCCTGCAAAGGAAGAAGGCACATAGCATTAGAACCCATCCATGTGCAAAGACGCCCCTCTTCACTGCACTTTCTGCGTCTCTGGTGAGTCCTTCCACCCCCAGCTCTCTAACGGGCTCAGCACAAGTCAGGAGCCAAAGAACACATTTCACTGAATGAGGAGAAAAGGGAAAGCAGGCGCAGAGGAAGAGAGAGAGCTTATAGGACTGGAGGAGAGGAAATGGCACTGAGTAGAATGGCCCAAGCGCAACTGCCGTGCTGGATGATGGGACCGTTCCCCAACCTGGTGCCCTGCAGCTGTGCTGGACTACAGCTGCATGGGTTCCACCCAGCACGGCTGCTGACCCAGCTGGCTGAGACTCATGGCAGTTGTAGTCCAGCAGTTTGGAAGGTACCCAGCTGGGGGAAGCTGGAAATGGACCCCAAGCAGGGTGGCCATTGCAGGGAAGAGGAACAGGGTGACATCCTTTGTTTCCTCCAGAGCAGGAACTGATGGGAGACAGATCTTAGGCAACTCTGGGACTGCAAAGACACCTGTTGTAGGCCCCATCCCGTTATCTTGCGGACAAGGAGGAACTTAGAGGACTTCAGCTTGGTCCAGCATGGCACTGCTTATCTTTTAAACCAACATTTGGGTGCTGGATCACTGATCATGGCTTACATATCCTGTACTGGCCAAGAAATCCTGTGCTGAATTTCTGCTCTGCTTATTTATTACATGCTGTGGAGACCCCCCGCTAAAAGGAAAAAAGGAGTCGTTTTCACATTTCCTTATTTCCCAAATTGCAGGAGAAGCTAAGGGAATTCTGCGCAGGGTTAAAGAACAGATGTTCTTACTATGTTTATCTCTTGCATCTAATGACACAAAAATTTATCTCCCTCCCCGCTCCTGCCCCCCACATGGAGCTTTCTCCAATGGGTAGGATCCCTGTTCTGTCTGGGGGCTGCTGTCTCTGCAGGTCCCAAAGATCAGCACGGCACTCATCTCCCCATACATGATCTGGGGGCAATCCTCACCACCTCCAGGAAGGCAGGTGAAAATAATCCCTTGCATCCTGCAGGGCAAGGGACAGAGTGAGGTAAGACCATGTCTGGCTAATTCCTGGGGATGAATGGAGAGGGGCAACATTCACAACATTGGTTAGTTTCTGGCAGGTACAGCAATATGTGAGAAGGTCCCTGTTGTAGGGTTGGTGGCAAATCCTGAACCAAGCGAAATACAGTGGGAGAAAGACCCCCTTTGCACACCAGGAAGGGGCACTGCAGTGGGGAGGCAAGAAAGGGAGGCGATCAGTTCTCAGCTTCTGGGCACACAGTAAAGGGAAGGGAGGCCACAGGGAGTGGAGAGACACTTGGTGTGGATGCTTGTGGTGTCCATACTGATGGGGAAGCTGACCCCGTGGGTGGGAGTGTCCAGTCCTGAATTAGGCAGGCAATTCCCTCCCTGGCCTTCACCCAAGAGGCCTCTCTCCGAAGGGAGCAAAGCCCTCTGTGGGGGGAATCATGCATGGAGAGGGCCTTAGGGCCATTTCCCCACATGGAAGCAGTTAGGCTGGCGCAAGAGACTACAGGAGAATCAAATGGATCTGAGTTATGGGAATCCAACCATTGCTGTAACACATTGGGTGAACTTGGCCAACATGCTCAGCCACAAGGTGGTATGTTAGCTTGGCCATTGTATGTTATGGGAATGCAGCCATTCTGATTTACTCACCCAGGCCATGCGAAGCCTGGGACCCCTCCCTGATGCCTCGGAAAAAGTTGTAGGGGCACAGAAGTGGGGCATGCTGTAAACAGGAGGGTGCCCCCGTCCAGATCGAGCCCTCCCTTCAACCCAGCCAGCCCGCACAAGACAATGGAACATGCAGCCCGTCATGCTCGGAGGGCTCCAGATTGGGGAAAGCCTTGCCGGGCTAAGGCGGCAAATGGGGAAGGCAGGAAAGAGCTCGGGGAGGGGGCGATGGTGCGGAGGGGCCCAGACAGCTGGTTTCAGCAGCGGGCGGCGAGAGTCGCCCGCTCTCCCGTGCGGGGGGAGGGGGA